ACTGCTTGTCAAAGTTTAAAAACGTCATGTTGTGGATTGACATCAATCAATCAATCAATCAATCAATCAATGTTTATTTATATAGCCCAATATCACAAATGTTACATTTGTCTCAGTGGACTTCACAGTTTGTACAGAATATCAGTATGACAATACGACACCCTGTCCTTAGACCCTCACATCGTACAAGGAAAAACTTCCAGAGAAAAACCCCACAGTTTAAAGGGGAACATGGGAGAAACCTCAGGGAGAGCAACAGAGGAGGGATCCCTCTCCCAGGACGGACAGACGTGCAATAGATGCCGTGTGTAAATCGAAGAGATAATACATTTTACAGCGTAGGTAGACCAAATGTTTGGAAATGCATGTGTCTATAATAAGAAGATGAATCCACGAGGATGTCAACAATCCTGTGGGAGCCATCAGGGAAGTAGTATGATGAGAGTCAGGCAGGACCACAGTGATAGGTTCAGCCAGGACTCGAAGTCCAGGACTCAGGATAGAGGATCCAGGACGCAGGATCCAGGACTCATGATGCAGGATCCAGGACACATGATTCAGGATCCAGGACACAGGACCGCAGCAACAGGATCAGCCACGACTCAGGATAGACACCAAAAAGAAATTTGGGGGAAGCTGGGTTATTGGGAACATAAGAGTACACAGGTACAGACAGAGGGAAGAAGTAAGGTGTCCCCCGACAGTCTAAGCCTATAGCAGCAAAACTAACATGTCTACGTACATGCACTCCCTTAGGATAGGGTGAGGGAAAAGAGTAGGAACTAAGATGTATGCGCCACATCTATACCATGAGCGCATTGCTCCTAAAACGTTTTTTTGGCACTGACACCAATCAACAGTTGTGCGTCGACTCGGCAGGGATCAAGGCACGTCTATGCCTCTCCCTGCTTCCACCGTCATGATATAGTTTGCTCCACAATTTGTCCACACTGTTGGTTTGCACAACTGGGCACATTTCTGTACGTGTTAAAATAATTTGACACACTGTATTAGTTGTTGGTTTTGCTGCACTTTATCACAAATAATAATGATTCATCTTGAAAGACATCCTTCCATATAATCTACCCCAAGTCACAGTGTGTGTGATATCTGAAGGCTTCACTACCACAGGACTAGAGGGAGGCTGCTCTGTGGATCTCAGTGTGTGTGTGTGTGTGTGTGTGTGTGAGTGTGTGTGATCCCAGAAAGTTACTGTGGCTTGTTAGCAACGCTTCCACCAGTGGAGCTGTCAGGTTGAGTTAAGCAGTCGTGTCACAGGCCAAGTAGGACGGGGAAACTCACACAGACACGCACGCGCTCATACCCCCCCACTAAACCGCATAGCAAGAGAGCAAGTACACACACAGTTATGCATGCAGCGTACACATCACCACTGCGGCTTTGCAGGGCTGTTCATCTGAAATAAAACTGCCTTGCGAGCAGTCTGAAGCCTGGAGCCTTTTCCCTTGGCCGCCTGAGATGTGAACGAACTGTTATGTAAGATCAGAGACAGGGGACATCTTACAGTACTCTACCTGCACTGCAACTAACTGATCAGACCGGTTGGCCTGGAACACCTAGAAGGAATGAAAGAGAATCATTTGAATTCAAAAAGGACTCCTATTACTCCTATACTATTTTTTATATTTTTCATCCCTTTGCTGCCTTTCTTTATGAATAAAATGATTGGTTCAAATTCTTACAATTTAGAGGTTTGGTGTAAGTTTCGAGGTATTGTAAAAGACAACAGCTTGTTTCTTTGTTAAGCCTTTGTGTTTGGGACTTGAGTTGCTGATATTAAATTCTGGGTTTGCCCTTACCTGTAGTGTGTTCTATAGGTTTATTTATCTGCATGTACATGGTCTGCAAAGGCTGAAATCCCTGAGTTTCTCTACCACACACTCTCTACCCCCCCCCCCCCCCCCCTGCCTGAAACACCCCGATTGGAGTCATTTCTTTACTTCTGGGTCATAGTGACATCACTACGTAACACTTTTATTGGCTAGTGCTCCAACTCGTTGTACGTGATAGGCTATAGGGCGGGACATCTCTAAGCTTTGACCAATCACAACAGGTTACAGACAGAGGGTGAAAAGAGGTGCTGCAGCACAGGCAGTAGGAAATAAAGAGCTTTTTGAACATTAAAGCATGGAGACATGTCCCAGTAGAGACACTACATACTGATATACACCTGAACATCAGCAGGAGAGGACTCTTTAAAGTAGAGACACTACATACTGATATACACCTGAACATCAGCAGGAGAGGACTCTTTAAAGTAGAGACACTACATACTGATATACACCTGAACATCAGCAGGAGAGGACTCTTTAAAGTAGAGACACTACATACTGATATACACCTGAACATCAGCAGGAGAGGACTCTTTAAAGTAGAGACACTACATACTGATATACACCTGAACATCAGCAGGAGAGGACTCTTTAAAGTAGAGACACTACATACTGATATACACCTGAACATCAGCAGGAGAGGACTCTTTAAAGTAGAGACACTACATACTGATATACACCTGAACATCAGCAGGAGAGGACTCTTTAAAGTAGAGACACTACATACTGATATACACCTGAACATCAGCAGGAGAGGACTCTTTAAAGTAGAGACACTACATACTGATATACACCTGAGCATCAGCAGGAGAGGACTCTTTAAAGTAGAGACACTACATACTGATATACACCAGAACATCAGCAGGAGAGGACTCTTTAAAGTAGAGACACTACATACTGATATACACCTGAACATCAGCAGGAGAGGACTCTTTAAAGTAGAGACACTACATACTGATATACACCTGAGCATCAGCAGGAGAGGACTCTTTAAAGTAGAGACACTACATACTGATATACACCTGAACATCAGCAGGAGAGGACTCTTTAAAGTAGAGACACTACATACTGATATACACCTGAACATCAGCAGGAGAGGACTCTTTAAAGTAGAGACACTACATACTGATATACACCTGAACATCAGCAGGAGAGGACTCTTTAAAGTAGAGACACTACATACTGATATACACCAGAACATCAGCAGGAGAGGACTCTTTAAAGTAGAGACACTACATACTGATATACACCTGAACATCAGCAGGAGAGGACTCTTTAAAGTAGAGACACTACATACTGATATGAGACCTGAAAAGGACCAGAACATGTCCTCTTTAGAAGTTATGGTTTCACAACACATCGAAATGTTGGTTCAATTTTTCACTTAACTCTAACCACAGTGAAGTTAAACAATACAGAATTATTGGTGATGATATTAATGAGGTCTAAACAAATAAAACACATGTTCTTGGTTAGGGACAAAGCCAACCTGTGCTTTTGTGGTTACTAATGTAATTACTAATGTTTAACTATACTTCTCTTCACAAACTGTGTACACTGTGCCTAGTTCAGCTTTTTACTGCTAACAAATTACTGTTACTGTTGTGCGTATTAAGTCAATATGCACAATAGCTCAAATAGCAGGCCCGGCTAAACAAAGGTTTAAAGAAATATGTCACTTGTAAATGTGAAGCTTTGTTAATTAAAGCTGCTACACAGCATTTGCCAAACATTAGATCAGGCTGTTGGAAGCACTCCTGTTTTATCTGAATAAAAGAACAGTGTTACAAGTTATTAAGGTGCAGTCATGTCCAATTCAAAAGTCTTAGCTTGCCAGCTTTCACCACGCACAAACTGGAACCACTGTTTTTTTAAATGTTACCAGTAAACCCAAAGCAGAAGAAGAAGAAGTGACGTCAGCGGCTTCATTTGCCTAATCCTCCCTCAGGGAGTTATTCCAGTGTGAACGCGATCTGCTCTTTAGTTCATCAGAACTAAAGAGTTCTGATGAACTAAGTTCTGATGAACTAACTACGGCAAAGTACTTGGTGTGAAAGCGCCTATTGTGTCTATTTGTGAGAGGCATCCAACCTGTTCAGGGTCAACCTGCCTCTCCCACAATGTATTCTGGGATAGGCTCCAGTCCCCAAATCCTGCCCAAGATAAGCAACTAAATAGATAGATTTATTGGTGAATAAATCTGAAATCAAAATCAAGTGATAAGTAAAGACTAATTCAAAAGCTATTACTTGATGTTGGTTTCTCATGTTTCATGGTTTTACCAGTGTCCTAATGCCCTGCACATTATTTATGCTGATTGTGATGTTTGGATGCCTTTCACTTTGATCTTTAAAACAGCTATCTGGCGCACACAGGGTTATTATAATTAAAGGTCAAAGGGTATTACGATATGCAACACCAATATCATATAGCGTAGTGCAGTGATAATGTATTTTTGGTAGGCTGACCCAGAAGTTATCACCGCAAGGGGTTCCATATTTCCATTGGAATTGCATTAAGTAATTTGTTTTAAGCTAAATGCAATCTCCAGAAGTAACAAGCTAATTTATGGTTATAAATAAAGTACTTCATGGTCACATGACTTCACCTCACCCCCGCTAAGCTAAAGGCGGCTAAGGTTTGCCATGAAAAAGCGGTTGCGAAATGATTAAATTAGACTTATCTCAGACTAGCAACTGACATTTTTATGACACAGATATGTTTCAGACCTTCACCAGTTATGTATTTACTGACATATTTTTTTTGTTGTCGATCAAAACGGAAAAAATCTCTTACGTTTGTGTTAACCACTGACCTTATTTGAGGCATCTTACCAACAATAAAAACTTTAAATAACTTTTCCTTTAGGACGACGGAACCCAAAGTGGTAAAATGCTTAATAATTTCAAAGTTTAAGGATTCATTCCTGCAACAATCTTTGAAATGAGGGGTTTAATATTTTCTATGGTTTGACTTGTTATTGGCTGTTACTTGTTGCCTTGCATTACCTGTCAGTCTTATGGCTCCTCTCTCTTCCTGTCTTCCAGAGTCTGCAGCTCTCCTCTCAGGGACAGTCTTCTGCAGCCCTTCTCTGGTCACAGGCCTGCCGGCATCTCTCATCCATACCATTCCTCTTCACATCCACCCATCCTTCCCCCTGTCATGAAAGGCCTGTCCAGTAGTCGGAGTCACCATCACGTGGTCTCCTATGAACCGTCATACGATCTACTGGGTCACCACGTAGACCGCAAGCCATACTTGATCAGTCAGAACGACATGCCTGTGCCCATTCCCATGCCGCATTCAGCTGAGCTGGCCTACTACAATGCTCAGCGCTCCCCGTACCCCTCTGACAGCAACAGCATCGTCCCATATGGAACCTTCCCAAGGAGGTGCCACTCCACCTCCTCATCTCACCATCCTGAGGTAAAGGATGAGGGTTTGGCCATGGTACCATATGTAGGAGGAGGAGGGGGAGGAGGTGGTGGAGGGGGCTATGGAGGTAAAGCGCCCACCCGGGTACCGGCAAACTTTGCGGACCCGTTTGAGCGTCAGCAGTCATTCTCCAGAGATGGCTACCACACACTGCAGTACAAACGAGGAGTGCTGGCCCACAGTGGGGGGATGGGGGCCAACAACATCAACAATGACAGCCCGGGGAGAATCCGTCACCTGGTCCACTCGGTCCAGAAACTCTTCACCAAGTCACACTCATTGGAGGGGCCACACCACACACAATCCAACAAGGGGGCCAATAATGGGAGCGTTAATGGTGGTGTTGGTGGTGGAGGAGGTGGTGGTGGTGGTTCAAGGGCCAGCCTAGAGGGTGAAACTCCACCAGGGGGAGTGCGCCACCGGAAGCGCAGCAAGAGCCGCGAGCGTTGTCGATCAGCAGAGCCCAAGCATCGAAGCCACCACCACCACCACCACCAGCTCCACGGCTCGGCATCTGCTCCAGGCTCCGGGTACTGGAGCTCAGATGACAACCTAGAACGGGAGCTGTGTCTCTACCACCCTCACCATCACCAACCTCCACCCTCACCCTCACCCTCCATGTCCCCGTCACCCATCGCCATGACAATGGGCCGTTATCCCGGCAGAAACCATGACAAGTACCCCCAGAGTCCCCTCCCCAATCTCTCCTCCTCGCAGTCCCAGCAGTACTTCATGATGGACCCTTATGGCACACTCAACGAGCACACACACACCCACGCACACCACGGCCACACACACCACCATTCTGCACTCAAAGTCTCCCGGAGCAACAACGATGTCAAGTACACAGCGTCGTCGTCGGCGTGCGTGCCAGTTAGTGGCAGCAGCAATAACAGCGGTGGCGGTATCGTTGGAGGAAGTGGCTCCTTGCTGCCACTGGGTCTTGTGGACGGGCCCCTTGTGAAGAAAGGGGCGTGGTCGTCAAGCCTAACGGTGAGCAGGGCCCGAGAGGTCTACACCAACAACAGCAGCCACAACCAGCTACGAGCCAGCGCAGGACCCGGTAACCTAAACCTAGATAGAGCTCTAGTCAAATCTAAGGGCAGTCAGCAGCAGGAGCGCACTTGCCATTTCTTACAGGTAAATAATAATTCCCCCACTCCCAATCCAACACCAGTCGATTCACCCCCACTCCCACCCTCTGTTGCCTCCCTTTTCTCCACAACTTACTTTCCTCACCAATGTTTCCTTTATGTCAGTGGAATCCAGTCTTGTGAAACTTCAGGTTTTCAGTCCTACCAAACACTACACTTCAGTTAGAGAAGGGCAAACCAATCTGAATCTCTTTCTGTAATCGACAGGTGGCCATTCTGAAGTTCTTACATGTTCAGCCACAAGTTCCAGAACGTGCACAGCTGTTGTCCTGGCACATTCATTTTTATATATTTTTTTCACATGGGTCATTTTGTACAAGTTTAGCAGGAATGCCAGTAATTCATTCCAGGACAATGGATGTTTGCTTCTTTGGATACAGTTAGAAGGATGACGTTCCCCCAGTTTCAGGGTGAGCAAAGACTTGCGTTGCTGCTGTATTCTGGGAACCTTTTAGGCAGCTAGACATTCAGAGTACTGAAATAATGTTGGCTTTCGAGACACTGGTGAAACTCAATACCTCCTCATCTAGGGATAACATCCATAAAGTTATGTGAAGAGTTAAACCAAGAGGGCACCAACCTAACACTTGAGAAATATTAAGAATCCCAAAGAAGAAGGTCAAATGCATTGGGTAAGGAAATCAGAATAGGTAGATTATTATATTGTTTAAAATTCAGTATAGTAACCTTTCAGTGAGCTGTAGGATTCAAAGTAGAAAATAATAATGTCAGTTTAAAGGTTAAATATCTCTTAATGTATGTATTGTGTAAAAGGGGTTTAATGACACAGATGGGGACCTATGTTTATGGAAAGGGGATACGTTTATGTCATGAATTTTATGTTTTTCTACATCACCAAACTTTACTAAATGACAACCCTTCCAACTGAACAGTGGACTTGCATCCCAGTTTAGTAGGCTACTCTGGGTCAAAGTACAGGGTCTTCATTAACAAAATCCCTGTATTGAGTTAGTGTTTGGCTGGAACAGAAATGGAGATTTACATGACTGGAGCCATGACTGATATCAAGGCTGTGGACACACTACAACTGGTTAAATAAGGGCTTTAGGCATAATGTAAAATAAGCCACGTTCATCAACTAACATGCAACTTTAGACAATTCTGATATAATTAGAAAAAACCAATGTACAACACGGTGCCCGCGGGCACTTAGTCGCACTCACGTTCTTGCTTGATTTGCGGACCAGCGTTGCAGTCGGGAAGAAAAGCAATGTAGAGCGGCACCGCATGGCGTCATTTCCACTGGGGACAGGGGGGACATGTCCCCCCCCCCACTTTTCGAAATCACGTTTGTGTCCCCCCACTTTACAAATATGTTTATTATTATTTTTTTAACGCAAGCCGTCATCGCCACGGAGGAGCACACAGCCTCTGTGAGCGAGCGAGAGAGAGAGAGAGAGAGAGAGAGAGAGAGAGAGAGAGAGGAGAGAGAGAGAGAGAGAGAGAGAGGAGAGAGAGAGAGAGAGAGAGAGAGAGAGAGAGAGAGAGAGAGAGAGAGAGAGAGAGAGAGAGAGAGAGAGAGAGAGAGAGAGAGAGCTACTACTATAGGACAGTAAAAAAAAACAGTTTAAAAGGGTAGTGATTAGTCAAATATGCATAAATGAAAAGAAAGAATGCTAACTAGGAAACATAAGATAAGAATAAACCAGTTTAAATGATTTGTTATTGGTTGTGATCATATTCTAAAGATGTTTGGATTATTGAAAAGTATAGAGCTCCCTTTCATCTGAGTGTGGAGAGCTGTTTCCATCAATTCATCTTGTGCTCAAAGTGCTTCAGATGATGCATTTCACTTCAACATTTAAAAAAACATCTTCCCGGGGGAGCATGCCCCTAGAGGAGGTGAGGACCCCCCTAGAGGAGGTGAGGACCCCCCTAGAGGAGGTGAGGACCCCCCTAGAGGAGGTGAGGACCCCCCTAGAGGAGGTGAGGCCCATCCACCCCCAAATAAAGCAGGTTCAAATAATTAAATTGCATACTTTTTCTTTTAGTAAACACTGAAAACGGGTCCCACAGACCCAAACAGCACACAAAGGTTAAAGGTCAGCATATCATAATGTTAAAATGTGCTAAATATATACACTGCAAAAAACAACAAAAAGAGGAGTAAAAGTAGCTCACGACTTGTTTTACTTTTTGAAAGTAGCTCTCATCCTAAAAAAGGTTGGAGACCCCTGGTGTACAGGGACCTATTGTCCCTATGCCAGGAATCACAAACCACAAATAGATGGATCGTTCGATTTCGAAAATGTTTCAGTGAATATATATATATATATATATATATATATATATATATATATATATATATATATATATAAATAATTTCATCAAAATGTAAATGAGCTCAGTATGTTATATGAAAAATAATGAACAGCTATTTTGATAATTGGTTAATCTACCAATTGTTTTGTGTTATAAATTGTCAGATAACACATCAACACATTTTTGACCAACATTCAAAACACTAAAGATTTTGAATTCCACAATCACATCAAATGGACTGTGCCTCAGGACGTAAAGTGGCTCGACCAGAAATCGAAAGACTGGAAGTTTGCTCCTCCAATCCCCATGGGAAGGAATAACCATCGGTGTGTGTGAATGAGATTTAGATTAGATGATGAGCACTTTAGCACCTTGTAAGGCAGCCATACAAGGTGCTAAAGGGTAAATGGTTACATGCAGTGCAAAGCTCTGGAGTGCTGGAAAGACTAGAAAGAGGCTATAGAAGTCCATTAGGGGAAAAAACATTACATAATCATATTTCAAAACCTGGAAGCAGCAACATTTTCAACCACATGTTTTTTGTTAAAACTACCAGATCATTAAATAGTGGCAGATGTTTTTGTTGATCAACTTACCAATGACTCAACTAATAATTTAAGCACTAATATCTGCATATTGTTTAATGGACAGTTGAGTAAAAATCAGGCAGTGAACTGTACCTTCTCTATTGATTGAGTTATACTGACTAATCTGTGTAACAGTGAAATAAACACATGACTCCACTAATGTTTGGAAAAATCCCTCAGAAAACGAATAAATGATGATTATATTTGGATAGAAATCATAATGAAACACCAATACCAACACTTTGAGGACTCCTCATTACTATTACAAGATTACAACGTTCCACAGATTTGAGAGCTTTCCTTTACAGATCTATTCTAAAACATGCCACTATGTTAATCCCAGTCAATGTATCACAGACTATAATCTCTCATTCCCTACAGTTTTTTACATTGTCGACACATTTCCTACTCTTGTGAAGACAGTCGGTTAAAAGATAAAATAACATTCAGAGAACTGAACAACATAAAGTCAATAGCAGATGGGGAAAGCTTCACATATAGATGTGATGCGCCTAGATGTGTGTCTGTTGTTGTAGTTGATCATTTTGCTTTAAATTGAACCTGCTAGCTAGCTTGATTAAAATGTTCTAGCTAACTAAATTAGCATGGTGGCTAGCTAGATGACATATTTTAGCTTAGACAGACCTGAAAAATGATTTGTTTAAGATAAGATAAGGTAGCACTTTATTGATCCCAATTTGGGAAATGTGTGTTGCATGCTTTAATATTGAGAATATAAGTAGAAATACCATCTTTCATTAACTATCACCAAGACAATGTCTACAAATCAAAGCGAAATGAGAGAGACTTCCTTAATGAGGGTTTCTTCTTCTTCTTCTTCTTAGAAGAAGAATCGGAGGGATGAAAACCTCTTTAATGGTCACACAGCACACACAGTGAAATGTGTTCTCTGCTTTTAACCCATCCTAGTACCAGGAGTCTAGTACTAGGAGCAGTGGGCAGCTATTGGTGCTAGTGGAGCACGCTCATGTACTGTCAAGTCGCCGGAGCCTCGCAGCGGGGGTACTGCTGCGGAACGCATAAACGCATAAAGCAGACTCTTCAGGCTAACGAAGGATCACTTCTTCTTCAGGGCAGGGAAGGCTACGCAGTACGCAGGCTACTGTCCCGCAGCTGCTGCCTCTCTGTTGGGACTCTGTTGGGGGGGAGGGGGTGCTAGTGGAGCATGCTCCATGTACTGTCAACTCGCCAGAGCCTCGCAGCGGGGCTACTGCAACTGCGCACATAAAGCAGACTCTTCAGGCTAACGAAGGATCACTTCTTCTTCAGGTCAGGGAAGGCTACGCAGTACGCAGTCTACTGCAGTCAGCTGCTGCCTCTCTGTTGGACTCCGGTACTACACATTACTCACGAGACGTAAAAACGAACGCACTAACCACTCCGCCAACGCCACAGTCACCCCCGCCGTGCGGGCCGGATGTAGCCCGCGGGCCACCAGTTGATGGTCACTGCCCTACTGACTAAGCCACTGCCGGAGAGCTTCTTATGTTTGGATGGCAAAATTCACTTAAAACGTTTTGCTTCAAAACATCCGAGAAATAATAAAAGATTTATACAGCAAGAATGTTATACATGGATATTTGATCAAACACCGGTACTCTTACCACCTGGAACTAGTGACTGCTTTAGATAAAGGCTACGTTATATGCTATGCTAATTTCTGTATCAAAATGACAGGGATCGTGCTAGAAACAGTAACACAATCTAACTAATATCGTTAAAGACATAACGGCACACACTTTTGAGTTTGGCGGATGGTACTTAATAATAACCAAATAACAAACAAGTGAAAACAACAAGCAGTGTGGCTGAACGGTGGAATAACGCAACAAGCTAAATCTCTATAACGAACTTAAACACTACACTGATCTAAATCGATGAAAAGTTCAATACAAATGTTGAGTCGTGTAATATAAAAAGGTTGTAGTGTGTCCACAGCCTTAGGATCATTGCCCCCACCATCAGAACCCCACTGCCACCTCCTCCCTCTTCTCCCCCACTTCTCCCCTCCTGCCTCTCCTCCACTCACCCAACTCACCCCCACCCAACCCCCTGCCACCCTCCTCCTTTACTTCCTGTTGGTTTGGAGAGCCTC